TCACCTGAGGCTGTTGCATCATCTGCTGCTGCTGCTGTTGTGGAGGTTGCGGGTAGCTTCCATATCCAGGATAGCTTGCATAATACATATTCGGATCCTGTGCTGCTGCTGCAGCATATCCATAGGTGTCATAACCCGGGGTGTAACCATAATATCCACTATTCCACTGGTTAGGGTCAACCTGAGGCCGAAAAAGTTTAGAGATAGCCAAATAATGAATAACAAAATAACGAAAATCGAAGATAGTGGGAAAGGCGAACCTGTTTGTTTGAAGGGCTGCGGCCCCATGAGAGTCGAATGCTCTGACCTCCCAACTGGGTTCCATTCAACGCGCGTAGAGCTTCCTCAGCACAGCTTCTGTTATGTATAAATATATAACATGGATAATGCCTCATTCTCGAGTCCTTGAAACTTAAAAGCATGGAAAAAGCGTAGGATTCTTGCTTTACCTGTCAGCAAATTGAACAAAACCACATCGTTTGCCCATGGGTATCTTTACATGAAGTAACTGTCCGTGTTGTCCAAACATCTGCCTGAGATGATCTTCTGTGACATTGGAGTCCAAATTCCCAACAAAGATCTGGAGAGGGAAAACTCAAACAGTGAAAGTCTGTCTGTTATTTTTTTTTTTTTTTTTTCTGTTCTGTGGAAAGGAGAAGAAAAGAAGAAAATGATCTTCGATGAATTTACTAACAGTTGTGTTCGATGGGTCATCCTCACTTGGCGTGACTTGAGAAGTCGGGTATGAGGCTGCAATGTTAACAGATGAGCTAAGGGTAGAGAACCGAGCAAAAGTAAATACTGTTGGGATACATGTATTATCAAAAAGCAAATGAAGTATACACTCAATACAGAAGTTATCTTGGCAAATAAGTCGTGCAACTATACGATTCAGAAATCCTCCAAAACCATGTAGTAGGTGGGAGAAAATCATAAATAGACACTTCTTACCATTGCCGGACCTGGACAAATAAGAGAGAAACATGCCTAGGCAGAAAGAAGTGCAGGAAATAAGATCAATGTAAAGCCCCATCCCCGAAAAGAGACATGTAACAAGTATACAACACTGATTGTGCAATTTTAATATATGATTGAGTTTGTCAGTCCACTACAGCAAACATTAGTAACTAAAATATAGTAAAATTTAATCTGTTAGCCAGTAAAAATTTGCAGAAACAAAGAAACTAATATTTCCACCTAATAATGGGTAGAGAAAAAAAGAAACTAAGGGGGCGCTTGTTTATGGATTTTTTCAACCAAAATATTTCATTTTGTTAACTATAGTTAAAGTTGAAAAAGTAATGTGGTTAATTGTTAGTGGAATTTAAAAAATATATTAAAATAATATTTAAAATAAAAATGATTAAAGTTGATTTGATATAAAGTAGGAGATAAATGATTGGAAATGATTGGTAGTTAAAATTATGTGAGTGGATGAATAGTAAATTAAAGTTGATGTGATGTGTAAGAATGGTTGATTTTTATTATTTAATTGTATGAATAATATTAAAGATAGTGGAGTTGAGTTAAAGTTGAGTTAAATATTTGAGTTGAAAAAATTGGATTGAAAAAATCCATAAACAAGCATGCCCTAACATTTCCACCTAATAATGGGTAGAGGCTTGAAAAGGAAACCGAAAACCGGACTGACGAGAAAAACAAAGCAACCAAAGGAGTATAGTTTACCACTTATCCTCCTAATAATAATGGATAAAATAAAAGCACCGAAAGTAACCGAATGACAGAACATTGAAAAAAGAACTCAACCACGGATTCCAATTTAACCAATTGTATATAATAATGGTTGCCGCACAAACCACTGAAACCTGTGCACTTTAAGCAGTTTAGCTGACCTTTGGTCATCACCTACTCTCCGTGGTGAGCCTTCTCTAACAGGAATAGATCCAATGATAAGTAATTCGATAATAATCGGATGGGTACGAAGAAAACCAAATAATTATCTAAAGGCGCAAAGGAAAGCGTTGCAGGGAAATACGTCTGTACTGCGGGCGAATTTAAAACTAAAGTATTTAAAAAGAAAAATAAACGGGCTTGAATAACGAGGAAATTTAACTTGAAAGAGAGCTTAGAAAGTAAAAGGTCTGGTGGAAGAAAAGAAACTGATATTCTTAGAATAATGCCTCAACGAACCGTAAAGTAAGAAACATTAAATTAAAACTGACCTACACAAGACCAGGTACTAAAATGGTTATCATTTCAGCTGAATTTTGGCTCCAGGCCCAAATATGTTAGAGCCTCCCGACACCCTGCTTTGAGACAATCGGCGATTTTTTATGAGATTATGCAAGTTTTAACACTTTCAGAACCTAAAATTGTTAAAATATGGAAGGTAACGACGTTGTAATTCTTGCTTATCTTCAAGAAATCAAAGAAATCATCTTAAAACATTGCTCAACCTATACTCCAAATATTCCAAAAACTAAAGCCACCGAAGCATTGGAACTGCCAAATTAAAATCACAGCATCATGACACATGAGGAGATTAGAACCAAACCACGAAATTTTCTGCTCAAAAAACCATCTAAAAAGCTGGAAGCACTTGGGATACCTTTTGTCTGACCTCCCATTCTTTGTTTGTTGGCAGCTGGACCAATTCGCATAGGCCTAGTGGAACATAATCTCCCATTCATCTCAGTCATGGCACGTAATTGTTCGCTTTCATCACCAAACTTCACAAACCCATAGCCCTTGGCGTGTCCTGTTATTCTATCCGTGACAACCTTGGCACCCTTTACTGAAGGATAATTGGCTCTGAAAGTCTCCTGAAGCATGTAATCAGTTACATCAGCAGCCAGATCTCCAACAAATATGGTGTACTCAGGAGCATCATCACGCTTTTCCCCAGCTCCCATGGATGCCCAGTTCAATCTGAAGGTTTGTTCGACATTTGGCATTAGGCTGCCATTGTATGTCTGCAGGTTCCTCTCTGCAGCAGCATGACTAACAAACTCTATGAATCCATATCCTTCTGATTGGCCAGTTTGCTTGTTACGGATAACTTTAGCAGCCACCACCTACAGAAATAAAGGTAAAATGGTCTCGACTTACAAAAGTAAACCAACGCAATCTAACAACTAACTTAATACAACAAAGCAGGAATATAGAAGTTATAAAATCACATTTGATAGCATTCATGTCTACAACACAACACATTGAAAAAGGTAAATTCCCCAACTTATTGTCAAAGCCAAAAATAAAAATCAAACTTTTTGAGAACCTGTACTGATGAACAATATCCAAGTAAGCAATCGATATAATGAGGAATGCACCATAATAAAATACACATCATACAATGTAGTAAATAAAACTGCTTTACGACCTGAAAATCATAAGCAATGAGGCAACAAATTCCGATAAATCAATGATAATTACACCATATCAGGAGCCGTAGAAAGGGCGTGAGAAAAAATTTAGCTCAATCGAATTCTCAAAAATCACCAAGTCATCAACATGCGACCATGCGAATTACCTCCCCGGTGGTCAAAAAACAGTTGTACAAATACTGCTCGTCCATCCAGGATTGCAGATCTCCAATCCACAGGCTCCGGATCCCATCATCCGCTATCGGCTGAGCCTGAGCCGTTGGCGCGGCGGCGTACGGATGCGGCGGTACGGCGCCTGGAGCAGCCTGCGGCTGTTGATAATAATACCCGGAGGCGGGCGGCTGCTGAAGTGGATGAACCTGGTACGGGGGTTGCTGAGGGTGCTGCCCCATCCATGGTTGAGATGGCTGCTGCGGTGGTTGTTGCTGGTAAGGCGGGGGGATCATCGGAGGGGGAACCATGGTGCTTGCCGGCTGCATCATCGTTGGAACCTAGATTTGTTGGTGGGGATAGTGTTGGCCAGTGTGGATAAGCAGTGCCCTAATTAGGGTTGTGAGTTGTGACTTGTGAGAGTCCTGAGAGGAAGAGAGAGACCAAAAAGAACAGAAATTGTGTACTTATAATTAATTAGAGGTGAGCGTGGGTCGGTACAGTTTGGAGATTGATAAATCACTAGAACCATACCAAAGTTCGGAGATCTCAAAAATTGATCTCCGAAACCGTACCAGTCAGTTTGGTTCGGTTCGGAGATTCTTATTTTTCGGTTCAGTTCGGTATTCGGGGCTATTGGGACGATTCGGTACGGTATGGTTTGGTTCGGATCTTCGGAGATTTCTTATTTTTTTTAGATTTTTTTTTAATGACTACCTAGTTATATTTTAATTTTTATATGCTTTAAAAGACAACATTCATCAATAATTCATCATATTGAGAATTTTATTTTGAAATCAATTTTAGAAGTAACTCTAAATTTTAGTTATCTATACTTATATTAAAAGTCATACTACTATTTACCAAAAATAGTAGCAAAAAAAAGTCAACTCACATTTAATGCATACTTTATTTAGAAATTTTTTACTATATGCATTAATTGCTTGCATATATACATTTCCTATTCAAATATGATCAAAAAGATTTTTTTCCTTAAATAATTTTATTAACTTATGCAATGATTTTACTGATATATATTATAATTCATATTTGTCGATAGTATTTTTTAATTTTTATTTGAGTATATAAAAAATAAATATTTTTTTAAATTAATATTTTATTTATCATTTAAGAGATAATGATCACATCATTAAATGATATTACTGATGGCTAGATAATAAATTAAAATACATTAATTATTCTTTAAAATTTTGGCATGTTATTTATGTGTTTCTATACTTATTATATAAGGTATCCTATTTACCAAATTTAGTAGATTGAAAAGGCAACGTAATTAATACATTGCTATTTCTATCCAGAATTTTATTTAATTATTTATTTATTTGTCTTATATCCCATAAAATCAGTTCAAGAAAAAAAATTCCATAACATCTGACAAGTAAAAAAAAAAAGACGTAAATTCTTTACTAAAATAAAAAGACTTTATTTATTTGTCTTATTCCATATTAACATCGATTTTGTCAAAATAATCCCATAAAATCAGTGAAGTCAAAATTTGAACGTAAAGTATATCTATCCAAAAAAAAAAAAAATCAGATTCAAAAGTCCTTATCTAATTCCTTATTTTTCTTATCTAATTCATTCTTTTCCTTATCTAATTCTTTTTTATTATCTAATTGTATGAAAATCTGTTCTGATTTTGTTCAATCCTCTAATTGTATTTGTATTATATTCCATAAAATCGGCTTAACAAAAAAAATTCCATAACATCTGATAAGTAAAAAAAAAGTACGTAAAATCTTTACTACAATAAAAAGGCTTTATTTATTATCTAATTTATTATCTAATTATATGGAAATTTGTTCTGATTTTATGGTACGTACTACAAATTGTGCACCCGTGTTCAGGAGCTACTTAACGGGCAAGCTTTGTGGAAATGACTCATTTAGTGCTTATGTCCCGTGCATACGGTATGTATTTTTATTACACATACTAGAAAATTGTGCACCACGTGCATCGCACGGGCTCTGTACTAATAAATGACCTTAAAATTGTGCACCATGTGCATCACCCGTGTTTACATTTTGGCCTATTACAGGTCACGTACTATATATATCCCGTACATTTTTTTTTATTCATTATATAATTATAAGAATGGATAAATGACCTTAAAATTGTGCACCCCGTGCATCGCACGGGCTTTGTACTAGTTTAATTTTTATATGCTTTAATAAAACCAACATTAATCAATACTTCCTCATATTAAAAAAACTTATTCTGAAATCAACTTTATAAGTAACTCTAAGTTTTAGTTAAGACTAAATTTGTGCAACTAATATTCAAAATTTAAAATTCAAACAAAATATAATATTTTTTCTAAAAAAATATTCTTTAACCTTTCATATTAATTTAAATAATTATTTTATAATAGAACAATTCGATTGTAGATCAAGTATTACTAAGCATGAAAGTTAAGTGAAGGTCGATTTGCTTGTTGAGACCTAATTCTATCTTCATAGATTTCTCGAGATTACTATATTATATAGGATTAAAGGTGACATAAAATATAATAATAACACATCTAATGTTATAATTCGGTTTTCGGTTCTTCGGTTCGTATGATACGAGACGGTTCGGTTCGGTTCTCGGTACGGATATTTGTGAAATCTCCAGCACCGTACCAATTATTTTTTCGGTTCGGTTCGGTTCGGTTCGGAGAAAGTCAAATGGTCAACAGTTGACGGAGTGATTTCGGTTCGGTTTTCGGAACGGTTCGAAATTCTCCGAGTCTCATGCTCAGCCCTACTTATAATTGATCTTGACGATGATTAATTAAAGCAAAATACCAATAATGCCCCCCTCACCAGAGGTTTTTTTGCCATGGAACCCAAAACTGTGGCTCTTGATGTAAGTCAGCTACTAAATTACTAAAACAGAAAAATGAAAATTAAATGCTTATATCATACTGCCTCCTATTTTTAATATATGTCCGTTTTGAGAAGTTGCACGTTAATTAATAATATTTTTTTTATAAATAATAACCCTATTTAATAAAAATAGAGATGAATGTTTTGAGAAATAGAATAGTGAATATGAAAAGAAGTAATATATTTATTAGGTAAATGAGAGTACTAACGGAAAATATATATATACAAAATATCCAAAACGACACTTATTTGGTTAATAGTTGATAAAGCCAAAATGACATTTGAAAAAATAGGAGGGAGTAGTTTTTAAACCCGGTCGAGACCAGGAGAGTTCCGAGTGACCGAGTCACCGATTCAATAGTTGTGTCATCGAGTCAATTTCTGAATTGGATTAATTTTAAATTTTGAAATTACATATAGTATTTTTGTTATACAAATATACATAAAAATGATAGAAACAAAAGTTTTGTGTATACATTTTCTACATCATAGTGTTAATAGAATTATATATTATAATAAATTAATGTTGACGGAGACATTAGCCTATAAGAGCATCTCCAACCGTATGTTAATTGTGGGATTGTAGAAGCAATCTGATAAAATAACTTCTCCAGCGATATTTTTTACACTTCTATTTAGGATGATGTGGCATGGAAGAGATCGAATTATTCTAGAAGTCCTTCTAGATGTGATGACATTTTTTTTCCTTTGTTTATTTTTTTATTATATATTATCCTCATACGATTCGTAAACAATAAAATTTACTAAAACATGTATATAGTATTTACTAACAGACTAACTAAACTTGAAGAAAAATTTTAATTTATAATATAAGTTGTTCATTAAATTATAATTTGCCGGTATTTATTTGTACACACTTTGTCAAAGACAAACTAATTTGCAGCAAGGGGTCATCGGGAGTTCGTCACAGAGGGGTCGTGGAGTTCGTCAAAGACAAATAAATTTACACACACCACCGACAACTAATTGTTCAACGGAAGTGGAGTTCGTCACAGAGGGGTCGTCGGTGCTAACGTTGTTGTCTACCAAGAAAATTCCTCTGTAGCGTGAGAGTTTTTATTTTGCAGCAAGGGATTTGAAGTGATAAGATAAAAAAAATAATAATAATAAAATAAAAAAATGGCAGGCCTTGCCCGTAAAACCCGTGGCCCGAGGTGGGGCGGGTTGGGCCTGTATTTCGTAAGCACACCAAGATGACATTTAGTCAAATTTTATGTGTAAGAATAATTAATTGTTATTATTTAATTATATTAATAATAGTATTAATAATAGAAAAAACGTGAACCTTGCCTCAAATTCAGTGTTTGGTGAACGGAAAACCACGCATCGTCGCATCACCTACACTCTCCGCCACTCACATAATTCACTTTTATCATATTTCATTTTATTACTTTGTGTGTTACCTGTATTTTGTTCTTTAGGTGGATCAAAATCCCAAATATTCCATTAGATTTTAACATACGTAGGATAAATAGTATAAAAATAGGTGTAATATTATTTAAGGGAGATGCTAAAGGTTTCGGACCATTTAATCGTGGTCTGTAACTATTAAATCATTATATAATCGTACAGAATAATTAATCTAACGGTTATAAACTCTGACTGAATGATTCTGTAAGTGAACCGTAACAATTCTCATTATTTAATTTATTGTTTTACTCAACCAACTTGACAAGCCAATTGCATCTATTGTCAACTTGACAATTGCAACTTGACATGCACCTGACCAACCAACCTTAATAAGTACCCACAATCAGAGGGGACAAAAGGAGAAAACAAAAAAAAAAAAAAACTATGGAAATTTCTCATATTTATTCCAGCAATAGTATCTTCCCTTTAACTCATTTTTTCCCTTATAATTATTTAATCCTTCAAAATCAAAACTATGTTCACTGGACTCAAACCCCTGAATCCCACATTTATTCAGCTGAAATCCCAGGTAATTACAAGATTTTATATGCTTCTATTTTGTTTTTCTATTAAAAAAATTAATAAATTTCAAAATAAAATGTTCAAAATCGATTCATTATTTACAATTTCGAACATTAGTTTTTTTTTTTTTTAACATTAAAATGTTCAAATTAATTAGATTTTATTTAATAATTGATGATTTCAATATAGACAACTTGTTGACCGAAAATAAAAAATCGTACATTTCAATTTTGGACTAAAAACCAATCGGGGATTTGCAATTTGACCTAAACTCCGGGTGTACAATCTTGTGCGGCAGGTGTACGGAAAGAGGATTTAAGAGTGGAGGTCGAGGACTCGATATACCTCATCATGAGAACCGAGGCGGAGGCGGCGGCGGCGGCGGCGGAGTCCGGCCGGAGCTTTAATCGGAAATTCCGGCTGCCGCGTCGGGTGGACGTCGCGGGGATCTCCGCCGAGTACGTGGCCGGAGTCCTGACGGTCACGGTGCCGAGATCTATCGTGAGGAGGGGATTGCTCATCGACCCTGCTGATGTGTCGGAGAGCTTGCAGCTTCCTGCAAGGGCTGCTTGATATTTTTTTTGCAAAATTTTATACAAGTGCGAAAAAAAAAAAAGGACTTGAAAGTTGAAAATTGAAAAGGGCACCACAATTTAAGATGAAGACCAAAACACTCGTTTGTTACATCGGTGCTGATTAAGTCAAAAGTTTTTATTTTAAGGTTCATTGGTCAATAAAAAAAATATATTATTATCCATATTTTATTGTTATAGTTTTTATAATTTATGTATTGTATAATGGACTTAATAAATAATTTTACTTGATTGACAATATATTTATATAAATAATGTATTTTTTTACTGATAAAAGGTACACATTTATTTATGCGTACAACACGATGTCTGATCGAGCTCGGTATGAGATGGTTAATTTAATATATCATATATTAAAACTTGATGAAAAATAAGAAAGTTATTAACCTTAATAACCTTTTAACATATGTCCATAATTTAAGTTAATTTAATGTTCATATTTTAAGTTATATAAAAGTTTTTATAAAAGTTCTAATAGACATGTAGTTCTAATAGACAAATAAAAGTTCATATAAAAGTATTTATATGTACAACACGATGTCTAGCTATCCTACGCAAGTTGATTACAAAATTATTTTATTCATCGAGGGATTGTTGGAATATTGTGAATGAAACTTGTGACAGAAAATTAGCTTTTTAACCTTTGGGTCTTGTAACTCCAATTTGTAATTTAGTTTTTAATGTTACAAGACTTTTAACTCCAACTTGTTTAAAAACACAAATTATTTAGTAGTCTTAATCTTATACTTGTATAAAGAGGGGTGTTCTTGAGGGAGAAGACACACGAAAGGAGTAAAAGAAAAGAAAAACAAGAATTCTTAAAGTATTTTTTTCGCCAGTTTTTAAGTGTTTTGGTCCAGGCGCATTCAATTAGTTGGATTTTATTCGATTTTGCTATTGTATCATGAGAAACAAATGTTCATACGAGACAAATCTATTTTAAGGATATTGTGTTTTCACGATCTTAATAGTTTATTATTTAGTCATCTTATCTTTTTATTTTCCCGATAAATTCTCACGGATCTCAAGAATTCGTGTTTTCATAAACTGCAAGTAGCTCCAAATATTCGTAGAAAAAACAATTCCACGTTCCTTCAAGTGCTACAAACAGCACCTTGAAACCCATGCTTAACAAGCCCATGTTCTTTGAATGTACATTTCCCATGAGAAGAAATAAATAACCAATTTTTCAAAGATAAATATTATCTCATAACTAGGTTAATTTTCCATGTTCAGCTAATTTAGTTAATACCCATAATGTAAGTCACAAACCAACAGCAGGCTATGAATGAAGTTTTGTCACCCTTCAGGCACTTGCAACGAGTTTGAGAAGCTCAACGACCTCTCTTAGTCTCATCTCTGCATTTTCTCTTCCCGCCAAGTTCCTTCCTTTCCTGCTGCTCGCCCAAATTACGATTATTACACAATCAATACGAAAGTATAAACGAAATTCGAACTTCTGTTTGAAAAATAAAAAGGCATACTTAATGATGACTAACCTCTTATCATTTCCTGCCTTCCTAGACAGGTCATCAGCAAGGTTGTTTAACCTCTTCAAAAGAGCTGGTGACTTGCGAATGGCATTCGCCCCATTTTCTGTACCGCATATTCTCTTCAAAAGCTCAGAGGCAATGAAGTATCCCTCCTCTTTGTTTCTGTATTAGTAATCAAGAAAATGATTATTATATTTGGAAAAACAAAAGCTTGTTTCCATTGTCTTGAAAAACAAGTGGTCAAGTTGCCAAATCAAACACAAATCTCGAACGTTCATATAATTCACTTCACCTTAAGAACTCAATGACAATAGTTTCCATGCATCCACGACTCTCAACGAGTATCTCAGTGAGTGCCGGATATCGGGCAAGGTTCCTAAGAGTAGATAATGCATGCTTCAATACTTGTTGATCTGGTATACTTCGGCTGACGGATCTTATTAACTTCAGTAAAGTGCCAACTGCGCCAGCAGCAACAAGTTCCTCACAACACTTCTGTGAAAGCTCTGTTGCCATATCTGTTAAAGTCGGGCAAATGCTTCATCACGGGCAGGTTCTTTTTCTTTCTTATGTATAATTTTCATAAATAAATGATAAACCAGTAGATTAAAAGAAAAAGGGAAAAGAAACGAGCACCTACTCGTTCTACAACCTTTGTAAATGGGATTGAGAGAAGAATAAATGAAACTGTAAATGGGATGGAAGGAAATGTGTGCTTGTGTACCTAAAGTTGCACAAGTGTGCAAAATGTTGCTGACACTTCTCATATTCAGAAGTTCTGAGAGTGCTGCGATAAGCCGGTTTATCAGACGCCTGCTTTCATCAACATTCGCAGCAGATATTTGCATCCTCAACCGCAGGTCCAGAAGCTGATCTCTTGCATGTTTCCGTGCAAGGTAACCCTTCCAGTACGACTGCAACATTAACAAAATTCAAGAAATAGTTGGACATATTAAAAGGTTATCCCAATCAGAAGTATAAAACTCTAATTATTTTGTAAAGCTGTAGACTAAAGCAAACCAAACAGTAAATCAAACTATTGCAACACTGTTCATTGTTACATCAATCAAACTGTATGAGTGAATAACTAAAGCATGCAAAGGCCAAAAGCGAGCTCACTTGAATCACAACCGCACTCTGCCGTTTTCCCTCTGCAGTTTGTCTTGCTATCCATCCACGAACATATGATTGGATAACCATCACCGAATTAGTTTTCTCTCTAACTCGCAGAACATGCCTCCACCATCTTTGTAATTTCACAATCGATTGGATAAAATATTGCAATTCAAGACCTTGGAACCTATGCTTCGAGGCCTTTTGAGGATGAGAAGCTCCTGCATTAGATAATTAAGGTTAAAATTAAGAAAATATCAATATAAAAGCATTTTTTTAAGAAACGTTACCAAGAAGCCTTTTCCTGGTGTTTTCCCCTCTGATAACACTTTGGATCTCAATTGCCATGTGCCTCTGGGAAACAAATGCATCACTACAGTTCATCTGACGGATGACACTTTGGATCTTTATTGCAGCATCCTTCTGGAGCAAAAACTCCTTCCTCTGTAGCCATCCACGGCAGAAGCTCTTATCCACATTTTCAACAAATAGTATCATTAGCAACAATCTTTACAAATGGGAAACCAACAACGTTGTACCATCTTTGCATAAACAACAATATATTACACCATTGAGAAACCAAATAAATATATCTTGCAGTTGCATGTCAACTGATTTCTAAAAACAGAAATGGCACTCAAACTCACCAGATGTGAGTTTAACAAGGTTATATCCATGTAGGAGTTGTTGCCATATTTTTTATTTATTTTTTCCTATCTGAGAAATAATGAATGAAGTGTTCGGTTACATCCAAAGTGTAGGAGTGGTTTGGTGGGAAGTGAAACAACTGGAATTTCTGTATCAAGAACTAGAAAAACTTGATTCAACTCATTGACTTTTTTATAGAAATATCAGGCAAACAAGGGGCCAGTATGTTCAACCCTCAAATGAAAATATTAAGTAAAATGTTTCGGTTAAAAACAAGAGAACCCCAAGCATACACTCTTTGAAAGTTATAAAGAACATTGGAAAATCATATGTACCTGAATCCCGATAAAAAGGTTTTTTTTCCTGCAAACTTCTCTGCGAGCCATCCATCCACGGACATGAGACTGAATGACAATTGCCGACACACATTCGTCTCTGATAATCTGGATGTTCCTTCTATATCTTAAACACCGGAAACTCCTCTGAATTCTTAATATTGCTTGCTTCTTGCATGCTAAATTCTTTGCCATCAACCAACCACGAAAATGGCTCTGAATTCTAGTTGCAGCCAAGTGCTGACTTTGGATGGATTTACTAAGCGCATAGTCTTTCCATAAACGCTGGATTGTTATTGCTGCTGTTGTCCAAAGCTCAACTATGCTATCTTCTCTGGATATAACAGAACTTTTCTTTTCAGGTGTGGCTATTTTAGCACAAATAGCATTAACGTTATCTGGGTTTTGCATATGATTAAAATTGGTAGTCATGTTGCAATGCCTTTGAGCAATCCAGGCCCTTATAGCCCGTTGAATGACTCGGACTGACCATTTTAAGTTGACAAAGTAATGCCTATCAGCCATAAACGTGACATATGTTCCAAACATTTGCAGGTGTATCCCCCTAGCTGTATGGTTAGTTACAAATTAGACAAGATTAAAGAATTAAAAAAGAATGTTAGAATATTATATATATATATATATATAAATAAATAATGAACATGAAATTGGTCTTAGCTCACTTCTTGAACCACTAAGCTCCTTCATAGATGTTTTTTTCTTCAATGACAACCAAGCCAATGCAACAGTTTGCAAGACCTGAGCCGCATTTGCTATTCTCTTATAGTTTTGATATTCTTTTAATCGTCTGTAATGAGACTGTATTATTAGTGCAGCATTCTCTGAAACAACATAGAAAATGAAAACGGATTATGACATCGTGTTAATTGATAGCACATAAAAAAGGAAAATCAGGGATAAAACAACGCTGATTGAAAATTTATTCAAACTAGAAATATTCTAGTGCAAACAGAGTAAGTTTATATAAAAAAATTAAAAGAAATGCAGGGGAAACACAATACAAGAAAAATATAAACCGTGAGAATTACGTGATATTGATACTTACCTCTTTGAAGTGTGCTGCTCTTTCTGTCAGTTATGGGAGCTGGCTTCATACTGCACTTGCCATTCTGTTGAGCCATGTCTTGCCACCAAGCCATAATAGCCTTGAAATTTCTCGTAGGATCTGCTGGAAATAATTACATCTCACATGCAGCCAATAAAGGTAAAAGAACTTGGATCATGTAGAACACGCTTCACCACTCAGTACAAAAGCTGAATTATGTACTAACCTAGTAGACATCTCATCACGCTGATGGATGTCATGATTTGTTGATAATCTTATTCAGGGGGAAGCTATTAAAAATTTATAGTGAACTGGTTTCTAAACTCATTTTCTAATTTTCCATTGAATGTTAATCACAACAGGTTTCTAAGGACGTGCATCTGTTATACATTTATGAAAAATAAAAGGAAGTTTACGTTTGATTTTTAGATAACAATTACACCAGTTCACCACTGCTTGAATCTCATTTCATTATGTGACAAAATATTTCACCTGGAAAGGTAAAACCAAGATCACTAGAAGTTCAATAATTCTAATCCACGGGCTGAATTGTGCTATTAAAAATTTAAAATGTTTGATGGTTGATTTCTGGATGTCTAACAAATTCAAGGAAAATTTTATGCTACAAACAACAGACAAGACATTTCAAGTAGTTTAAAAGGATTGTGACCTTTGACATTGTCCCAATCTGTACTTGAGAGCCTGCTGTTAGTAATTTGGCAGCTGAAACCCAGCAATTTATGAAAATTCAGCTTATCCTGAAAAAAAAAAAGAAAAAAAGAAACAGAGCATCAAACAATTAAGATGTCTAGTTACAATCTTAAGTACAGTAATGCATTTTAGACTTTACCATGTTTCGTTTCACTAGTAGCTGAACTGCGAGAAACGCCAACAGGACAATCACGCTCTGTCCATTACATGCACCATTATGTTCTATAATGTCACTGACTTGTAGCACCTGTAAGTGTCAGTCTCATGCACATTACTCCAGATTATGGCATGGATCAGGAAACAACTAGAATATATTTAAGATGATTTTCACCCAAATACTGTTTCCTTGAAGGAATGTTAATTAGTCAACTCAAACTAAAAAAGCTTTGAGCCTTCCAGCAGATAAATACTCAACTGGAACTAATGCCGTCTTAGTAGAATATTAACCAGTACTTTTTCCAGATTGCTTTATCCTGATATAAAAGAAATTAAGTGTTACCAAGAAATAGTCATTACCTCAGGAAAGTTCCCTAATAAAGATGTTAATTTCTGGGAAAGTATGAAGTTGTGAACTGCATCTGTATATTCAATTGCTGACATGATAGAAACTTCTCTCACTGTTCCATCTGGGTTCTGTGATGTGTCAACCGTAGATGAATAAGTCTGAAAGCATATACATAGCAGAAAGGAAAAAACCTGTCTGAGAAATAGGAAAACTTACCTTGCAACAACTTGAACAGTTATGTTCTTTACGAAAGTAATAATCAAGCAAGCACCACATAGCTTTTCCATCCAATAAGGACGATTGGCTTTCAACCTTCAACTCATACGTTTCACATATAGCCTAAAAAGAAGAGTCTTCTCTTGTAAGTTGTAGACATATCGTCATACTGGAATAATGCAATGAGTGCGTCAAGTAATTCACTATTTATTCTGTTACTCAATGTGACATACACCAGAAGAAATGCAGGACTCTATTATGATCCTTATTTTGTTATAAACAGTAAGAAACTTATGCAGTCTGAATAGTCTATAATCTTATTTCGTTTGCCTTTCAGAACCTAGTTATTTGATAGACAGCATGGAGGATTCCAGCCCCCAAAAGTTGCAGCAAGCCTAATATGAATCTATTTTCATTGTCTACTTTTTTCACTTCTTTTATTTGTTTCTTACCCTTTCAGTTCTAACGAATAACTATTATCATGCAGTCATGGCCTATAAACAACATATCCAGAAGCTCAAGAAACTATATTAGCTTTCTTGACTACCTGAACCCAACTAATCAGCAGATCCAAGAGAGGCTGGGTGCCTGAGTTCTCCTGCAAAGCAATGCAGATGCTATAATTGATGAAGAATAACACACTTCACTACAGAAGTACAAGATGAAATATATATATAATAAGCAACATATAGAGATGAAATATTTATAAAATTTTCATATTAATAGAAATAATGAAGCTATACTGAAGTATAAATGTTTGTTTACAAGCACAGACACTTTTTCAGTAACATGCAATTATAACAAAAAAGGTGAATGAAATCATACCACCAAACTTCCCCGAATATTTGAAATTTCTTCCAGTAGAAGCCTGTTGTTGATAAAGAGAGGCAACTGCAGAGAACAGAAGTCTTCGTTCAGTATGTCCATTCATGGACAAGGCACCAACACTAAAATGGGAACATTTATTCTATTATGTGCCAAAAGAAACACTCAACATGTTCTTACCAGAAAAAAAGGGAAAAACTGCTGATTCTAATTAAATTATAGTTTAGCAATTAAGGAAATGAGATCTAAGGATACAGAAAATCATTAGCCCACCTGTAGGTGAACAAATATATTCCAAAGCAAGGCTAGTGTTAGCTCCTTGTCCCCATTGACTACATCTTCACCTATAATTTCTGTTCCATCCTCATCAACTATTGGGACACCAGCTTGCTTCAGAAATTGCAGTGCAATCCCACAATTAACCTGGCTTTTCTTCTGAGTGTCGGATGGAACAACCACTTTCTGCCAGCACAAGAAATCAGTGTTCATATTAAGCCAGAAAAAATAAATTACAAATTAACAGTCTGTTTCTAGAGAAACCAAACCATGAGAATGGAGGTATCATGTTTCAGGAGTTCAATGGCTCTACAAAGCCGGATGCCATCTCGAAGATCTTCAAACAAATCAACAACTTTGAATTCATAGTCAATCAGCGGATTCTGTAGAATAAACAAAAAATACGATTACAGTTTTTTGGAAGTGAAGTTAACTTCGACATAAATATAGTGACTAAACTCTTACTCTTAGAAGTCATTATAAATGCATGCAGAGCAACTTTCTCTGTGGAAATAAGTAGAATGTTGTAAATGCGACATCACTTACTTGCTGGTAAGTTACTTTGTATCCAACAATCACAAGATGTGCTAGAAGACTGCCTTCCCCATGCATCACATCCGATGATAAAAAATCTAAATTAGGAAAATACAGAACAAGAAGCACATCGTTTTAGAAAAATAATGAGTAAGTAGAAAATGCACAAATATATGAAGAATATGAAGAAAATAAAGATTACCGGTAATCAGCTGGCGGCTTGATTTAATTTTAGATTTTGACGAGAACAATGGAGGAGATCCACCATCAAGTCCATCAATACCATATTTAAGAGGAATGCTGGTTTGAGACTTGGCTCTATCAAGTATGATAACAAGCAACAAAAATCTTTTCAATATGACATTTCCTAGTTTTTCATAGTAACCAGGTCTGTATAATCCCTCAACCAGCTTGTTGTAGACATGGGCTCTAGCAAGACCAGGGTGTGTGAAAAACTGTTTCTCGAGAACCATCCTCAAGAATGTATTTTCTTGCTCAGAATTGACATCAGCATTTGGTAACAAGGAATCACCACCAAAGATTATGTACAAACCAATTCGGAGCCAAACTGGGTTATAACACATGAGAAGTTTTAAGGCTCTCTCTTTCATACCAACATCACTCACAATAGGACAGCTTGCCCTCATTTTCAGCCGTCCATCGTCAATGTTCTGGAAAATAAGGAAAAGCAAGGGATGTTAATGGCATAAAGTTAATGTTAGATATAACTAAGACTTTTCCGGAAATGACTCAGGTACACAGCCGTGAGGTGAACTCTAGGTTATTAGAAAATCTTAAGCAAAGAGCATCTAAAGTTCTTACAATCGAAGCCTTCAAGCAAGTTCCAGTATATATTTTTTACGGTACGCAAAAATTTGAACTGAGAGAACTTGAAATACAGAGAGCGTCGAGTAAAATCCCTGGAAAAGACAATTTTGGCAAGTTGATCTTTTCAAGCTAAACTGAAGTCATTCAAACTTCCGAACTTTCAATCAGATCTTAAATATCACACAGCTGATAAAAATAATTCTCTGGGTTAAAATCTTAGTCAACTATTAACTACTTAACCACCATAGATATAATCAAGAGAGCAAAAGAAGAAAAGTGCCCAAAAAAAGTAAAAGAAGTCATAGATCTTGTCATAACTACCAACTCCTGCATATCCTAAATTGTTCAAAGTACCTTTCTTGCAGCGTATGGCAGTCAATCAATTGCATACATGAAAAATTCCTAAGCAAATTAAAACATGCATAAATAAAGCCATCCTTAAACGGCTAAACCCAACCTAAATATATAATGTACTCACAAATCATAATTAGCCCTTGCTAAATGCAACCAACGAAGAAAAATGATCGTCATCCACTTAAACTTTCGGACATAGTAAAACTCTAAACCCCTAAAAATTTGCAAAATCACATGCAGGAAAACATAACTCTTCTTGCAGCATATGCCAATGAATCAACTGCATACATGACAAATTCCTAAGCAAATTAAAACATGCATAAAGCCATCCCTAAACGGCTAAAACCCAACCTGAAGGTGTAATGTACTCATAAATCATAATTAGCCCTTGCTAAATGCAACCAACGAAGGAAAATGATCGTCATCCACTTTAACTTTCGGACATAGTAAAACTCCAAACCCCTATAAATTTGCAAAATCACATGCAGGAAAACATAACTCGAACCTTTGTTACTTGAGCCATTGTTTTAAAGATATCTTTGCAACTAGCCAAGCTCAGGTACATCCTCATTCTCCCCTTCAGATCCTCAAAGCTACATATCTCCTGCAACGAAGTCCTCAACCCAGGAAAGTAGGAATCTGTAAACACATTCTTACCCACCTCATCATCAACATCCCCTCCCCACAACAAACCCCTCTGCCTCTTTGGACCCCTCCAAGGCCCATTAACCCCAACCTTTTGGCCCGGCACACCCTCCCTCTTCCCATAATTTGCCAGCACTTCCTTCATACCGCCACCCAAATTGGGATCCGAGCCATCAATTTCACCGGTGAAGCTCGCCGGATCACAGCCGCACGAACTAGGGTTTTCGAACAGGAAATTGAGCCACACAGTGAGCGATCTAGCAAGCGACTTGAGCGATTGCTCCTTCTCGGCTTGCGCCTTCCGTGCCGACTTGGACTGCTCGATCTCAAAGGCTTTCAGCCTACGGGCGGCTTTCGATTTCAAGGCGGACGTTTTGAAGCCACGACGGGCGGAGGATATGGGGGTGTTTTTCGAGGCGGTGAAGAACTGAGGGGAGCATTTGAAGCTCGGCGTTCTCAGTGGAATTTTAGGGGTTTTGAGGTTGGAAAGGTCTCTGAAGATTGAAGATGGTAATGGAGGGTTTGGCAATGGCGAAGCAAAGTGAGTGTTTGAAATGGGTTTCCGTTTTCTAGAATCCATTGGTGGGAGGTATCTGAACTGTGAGCGGAAAATGTGATGGTGAAGGTGAATATTTTGAATGCGCTCTCTTACCGTTTTGAATTTGAATTTAAACGCGGACGTATCGGCGGTTCAGTCATGTTGGAAAGGCAGAGAAACGAGGGATATCTTACTTATGTTGATTTTCTTTATTAAAAAATATAACTAGGATGCAAAGGATATATAACAATATTTTTAGTATGTCATTAACCAAGTAATATGTATTTGTAAATTAATTAAAAAAAAAAGAAATTTATTTCAATATTATTAAAAATTTCATTATAAATAGATCGATGTTATGATCGGTCACAGTGATATCCACAAACTAATATTTTTAAAACAAGATCACTGCTTACGCGTTTGATAGCACAAAATATTGTTTTTCGGTTGAGAGACAACATATTTCAATAAACTATTAATTTCTTACAAAAAATAAAATAAAATAAAATAAAATCTATACAAGTTGTACATAATATTTTTCGGTTGAGTCTTAGAAGCTTGATCTCCACACACAAAGTTTTTTAAACCACTACGATGGTAACACGTGATACGGCCACATACAACGTCTGTAATTGTAAACATGATTTTTTAAAAACATGCCGACATGTGTTAGCGAGACTGACCTTGATTCTTGTTTATAATAATCGCATATGAAACCATAAGTGGAAACTGTCTCCGCTTGAACTTGAAAGGTATTTGCAGATAAGAATGAATAAACGTCAACTGTGGGATCAAGACCTTCTCCCCATAATTGGCACCAATAAGTATCTTGCAATCTGGCACGCGAGTAGATAGATTTGTCGTGTTCTGCGATAAATTTATGCACCCAATATTTGCGCCCCTAGTGTCAGTGACATCCAAAGAATAAGTACATTACACGAGGAGAAACATGGTTTCCTTGGCATGTTGGAAAGTCTTGATTGTATGCACGGGGAGTGGAAAAATTGTCTAGTTGGATGACAAGGCTCATACACTCGTGTAGACCATGAAATACATACGATTATGCTTGAATCAGTAGCCTCACAAGACCATGGATATGGCACACATTTTTTTGGGCTCGCGGGATATAAATGATATAAATGTACTACACGAATCTCCATTATTCAATGGTGTAGCTTCGTAGGTCAATTTTATGGTTAAAGAGACTCAATATACTGAAGGATACTGCTTAACAGATGGTATATATCTATCTAGAATGGGTTAAATTTGTCAAAAGCTTTCAAAGTCTAGATGATTAAAAAAAAATAATAATAATAAAAAAAATCAAGTAGTGAAAAGAGGCTGCAAGAAAAGAAGTTGAATGTGCTTTTGGGGTCCTCCAGCCAAGGTGGATAATTATACGAGGTCCTTCTCGTTTTTTGTATAAAGAAAATCTTAGTGAAATTATGTTATCGTGTATCATTTTACATAACATGATGATCGAGGACGAAGACCAAGAAGCTACCAACTGTCTAATGATGATGGAGAACACCAGCGTGGATGCGTGAAGGGGTGTCTCCAAGTTTTCGACACTACATGCAAATAAGAGTTGAGGTGCAAGACAGACAAATCTATCATCAACTTCGACACAACTTAATGACCCCAATTCCCAATATTAATATTTAGAAAAAATTACTCAAATTTTAATTTTCAACATTATGTAAGTTCTATGTTTCATAATTTTTTTTTAAGTAAAACGTTACATTGGTAACACTCTATATTTATAAATAATGCAATATAGTTATATTAATTTTTATATGTATTTATGATAAACATATGAAACATTTGGATTGAATAAATATAAAATAAAGTTATAGTTTTCAAATGTAAATAAAAATATAGCAGTAAAATATTAATTAAAAGTCAGTGGAAACATGTATGACCCATAAAAAAGAGGTTTATTGTTATTTGAGGTTGATGTGTAAAAGTAATAATGAAATTTTGGATAATATGTGATGGGTCACTATCTGGTTTTGGGTAGAACCGGTTGAGAAGAGTTTCGATCTGCCTGAACCGCCACATGAGACCTACAAGAACTCAACGTCGGAAGATGTTGATGAAGATCGCGAGTCCCGATACTTAGTTGCCTCGAAGTTGAACGCGCGAACGACTCCTTTCTCGGCAATTACCGTGATCGGCTCGGGGGTTTCCTTGCCTTAACGTCGGTTTGAGACAACTCGGAGGTTAATCTTTGCCAAACTCGAGCTTATGTCGAACGATGCGATGAAATGCCTTTGTCGGCACAAGAATTTTGTACTAAAACTCAAAAGGAATTCTAACACAAAAAGTTGAACAAAAATTTGATTTTTATTGATAATAATTCATAATTCAAAACAAGGGAAACATTAAGTATTTAAAGGAGAAAACTTAGTCTAATCCAAATCGAAATAAACTACTCAATTCATAAGGAAAGTAAATATATATCTAGAATCCTAAAATATCCAACTAATTCACCCTAAACAATCTAGGAATATTAATAAAGCATATAGAAGAATCTTCCATCTTGATCGCCAAGCAACCCTAGCCGCCTTGCTCGGCTCGCCCGCGCGTGTCACTCGCATGCGCTTCCCCCTTGCGCGGTTCTTCTCGACGATCGTCCATGCGCGCGACCCTGTACTCGCTCGCATGCTCGCACGCCCCTGGCCCAATCGCAATGTTGTCGTGCGCGCCATTATCGCGCGCGTTGCCCCGCGCGCCATCCCCCGCACCAATCGCATTAGCCTCCCCAGCCCGACAAGCCAACTGCTTGCGCGCATGATAAGCCCGACTTGCCGCATTCTTCAATCTTCTAGCCGTATCCGCATCAGTTGTTCCCAGCGAAGGGTCTCCGATGCTTAAGTCAACACAAGTAATAAGATAAAAGCTCTACAATCTAGAACCATAATGTATGTAAAGTGTGTAGAATGTGGGAGGGGTTAAGGTTCTACCTCAGTTCCCTTTTATAGGGGAAATACCTGCCCAGAATGCCCGAACTGCTCTCGGTCAGCTTGCCCGAGGTTTGATCTTATCTATATCCTAATCACATATGAGTCATTATCAGATTTCTTTATATCCATTTCTTACCTTTAAGTCATACTTCTATAGTCATAGTGAAATCAACTCTTTGTAGGTCTTGTGTGGATCAACACCTCACACTTAGTTACGGCTGAAACCTCCTTATACCTATTCACATAGACCTCCTCATACTTAGTCGCTAAGACCTCTTTATACATAGGTCGCCCTTTTCCTTCAAGTCTCGCCTAGATCTTTTTATACTTAGTCTCCTTAGACTACCTTATATATAGAACGGATAATGCTCCCCTACCCACAGTGGGCACATGTTAATATGCCCACCGGTTATGTGGCGTGCACACATTGATGATGTTAATATGTTCAAAAATTACTTCATCAATGAGTGCATGCCACATAAACGATGGACATATTAACATGTGCCCACCGTGGGTAAATGAGCATTATTGTATATAGAACTCCCCTTCTTTTAAGTATCCCCTAAACCTCCTTATACATAGACTCTGGTCCACAAAAAATGCTTTGGCTATGTTTGGTAAAACTATCAGCTAGCTTATCAGCTTATTAGTAATTTTCGAGCTTATAGCTTATGACTTATAGTTGAAAAGCTAGCTTATATGATAAAATTGTTTGGTAAAATTAGCTGATAAGCTAGATGATATAAAAATTTCAACGAGCTTATTTGAAAAACTACCAAAAGAAGCTTATCAAATAAGCTCGTCCTACCAAACGGAGCTTATTTACATACAGAGAGCTTGTAAGTTAATCAAATAAACTATAAACTAACTTATTTTTCTACCAAACATAGTTTATATCATTATGGAATGTTGAAAAATGTAAAAGAGATGTATGGAGGAGATATTGTTAAATTAAAATTTAAAGATGGTATGTAGTAATGCTTCCCTACCCACGGCGGACACATCTTAATATGCTCACCGTTTATGTGGCATGCACACATTGGTGATGTTAATATGTTCAAAAAAATACATCACCAATATGTGCATGCCAAACACCACCAATGTGTGCATGCCACATAAGCGGTGGACATATTAAGATGTGACTATCGTGGGTAGGTGAATATTAACGATGTAAAATGAAAATCTAAAAAAAAACCTTCCACGTCTTAATGACAAAACCACCACGTCGGAAACGAATCTCATTGGTCGTTCTTCGTCAGAACAGAATTTCATTGGCTCGTACTAATCACGCACTTCGACACGCGTGCCCTGAACAAATTATATAAATACAAAGGAAAATGAATTTAACGATTCTAAAATTTCCAGCTATTCGAAGCTCTCTTGTTCTTTTGTCGCCTAATTATCTGTTCATTAATAATAATTTTATTATTCCAGATCCTTCTATCGTTTGTGTTCGCGGGTGAAAAAAAAAATTGTACTCGACCTAGGGTTTCTGTTGTCCCCTTCGGCTTGTTTGTTGATTGATTTTGATTAATCGAAGGAGATTTAATTCAATGGCGCAAGCGGTGGAAGAGTGGTACAAGCAGATGCCGATCATAACGCGTTCGTACCTCACGGCCGCCATAGTCACCACCATCGGTTGCTCTCTCGAGGTAAGTGTTTCGCCCTTTTCGATTGTTTTTTGTCGATGTTTGGAGGAAACTGTGGATCATAACGTCGTCTTGTTTGCTTTTGGAAAAAAAATGGGTACAGAGATAAATGTTGCTTGAATGTCATCTGGGATTATTTGCCTTTCACCAAAAAATTGCGTTTTCTTGTTTCACGTTATGCTGGATGGTGGTGAGAATAGCTAACTTGTAAAGAAGAAATTGGTGTTTTATGAGCTGAATTTAGTTTTCTGTCTGTCCGGCAATCTGCAGATAATATCTCCTTATGATTTGTATTTGAATCCGAGGCTTGTGGTGAAGCAATACCAAATCTGGCGAGTCATCACCAACTTTCTGTATTTCCGCAAGATGGGTAAACTCTCTTGCTTCGACGCTTTCCTTACAAGTCATTTTTTTAAATTTGGTTTGGCTTGGATGGTTAGGTTAATAAAAGCTCTGATGAGGGGTGCAATTCATTTGTTGGTGTTTATACTCTAGTTCCGGTTGAACTGGAAGATCATTGCGTTGTTTGAGCTACGGAATTCGATTCATCAGTCTAAGAATTTCCGTGTTTGTTTCTACCTTTGATTTGTTCAATTGTTTAATTGATGTATACGTGGTAAACATAATAAAAGTGTGTAAATAAAATTATGTGGCTTTCTTTTTTGCTTTTGCAATTTGACTAAACGGGAAACAACAGATTTATTAAGTTTATTGGCTCTCTATTTTGGGGGAACACATGTAACATGTTAAGTTGTAACGGTTTATCCGGCATGGCACATTTCTCCTCATGCACCAGAGTGCGTGCATATGCCTCATTGTATTCGTCTACTGATATGGTGCATTTAGTTATCAATGCATCATGATTTCACTTTTCTGTTAGCTAAAGACAAATTGGATTCATTACTATTTGATGTGACAATGAATTCAATATTCAAGTTACGAACATGGAAATATTGGACTGCATGCTGAGGACAATAGCCTTTTATCAAATGTTGATCTTCTAGATCAATCCTTTCATGTGACACAGCTCTATGTGTTTCTATGCAGATTTGGACTTTTTGTTTCACATGTTCTTTCTTGCTCGATATTGCAAGCTTCTTGAAGAGAACTCGTTTCGCGGGAGGACTGCAGATTTCTTCTACATGTTGTTGTTTGGTGCGACAGTTTTAACTGGTATAGTACTTCTTGGAGGGATGATTCCATATGTCTCAGAATCATTCGCAAAAATCATATTCCTCAGCAATTCTCTCACCTTTATGATGGTTAGTATTCCTATGCTCAGGAGTACTTGTGAGTTTGATTAGTTTCACCACGAAGCCCGCATTTTTATTTCACTTACCTAGATCTTATATCCCATTTCTCCTTATGTATTAGGTATATGTGTGGAGCAAGCAGAACCCATACATTCACATGAGCTTTCTGGGCCTTTTCACTTTCACAGCTGCATATCTGCCATGGGTAAGTGGCTTAACGCCCATCAGCCATCTATTTGTGTTCAATCATATGCTCATGTTCTTTTATATTACAATCCCATCCTACTGTTTGTGTCATTAATATTTAGATTCCGCTTGAAATGTTGATATCTTCAGAATATGGTACTTGATATCCTATTACTAGTCAAGATACTAGATATATGGAGGAATATTTATCATGATATTCAATTTATATATTGATCTTCAATTCTTCTTCCAAAGTGTCTGATCTGCATGAATGAACAAGAGGTTCGGAAGCAAACGACTAAAGATCAATTAGCAAGCTTTTGCTCATTTTTTTACAGTTCTACTTTATCCATATAATCATTTTTATCCTATTTTCAGGTCCTTCTTGGATTCTCTGTTCTTGTTGGTGCTAGTGCCTGGGTTGATCTTTTGGTATGCCCTCATTGTTCTAACTATAACCCCCTTTTGTGGATACTCCACTCTCATCTCTCTCATTTCAATCTACTTGTTATTTATGAGATACATTCACTTTGGCCCAGGGAATGATAGCCGGCCACGCCTACTACTTTCTCGAAGACGTGTACCCGCGAATGACAGGTCGTCGACCCCTCAAAACTCCATCTTTTATCAGGTCCTTGTTTGCTGACGAGCCCGTGGTGGCTGCTAGGCCTGCTAATATCAGATTTGCTGCCCCTGAAGCTCAATAGAATTGATTATTTGGGTTATATAGAATGTCAGAACTTCAGCGCATGCAATGCTATGCCAGCTCTAGC